AATTTGCCCATTTTATGTAGGTACAAATGACAAGACAAGCATGTTGTCGATCGTCTCATTTTATTCGATTGATTCTTATGAAACGTAGGTGCAGGTCTCGACGCAGCTGTGGAGGAGGCGTGTTTAGAGAGTAAAGACAGGATATCTTCCGTTTGTAAGAACGAGAAAAACGATATGCCTTTAGTGTGCATTATTTATTGGGGACTTTGCCTTCTTATTTCGACTATACTATACTATTGAATTGATGGCGAAAATGGGACAAAAAAGATCTGATCATCAGTGAAAAACGATCTTTTACTTGTTCAACATTTTTGTTTCTTACGATGGCAGCTTTCCACACGTTGTCATCAACATTATACCATCATTAGCGGTAAAGAATAAAGTTTTTGTCTTTTCAACAGCTGGGTTATTAAGCGATCTTTACTGAGAATGGTAACCCGAGAAGTTTATACAGAAAAAGTGATTCGTTTAGGCATTATGTGGCGCAGAAATGCCTTTTATTTCATTAAAGTCAATATTTACGTTTTAAAATTAGAACACATGTGGCATTCCTGACACTGACCCCACGGTAATTTCACTTTACGCCTCCGCAATGTACTTCTCAAATCAACGGATCTATCCATTACACAGATGGATTATCATGTATTTTACAGGTCCGATGTGTTCGCTTGGATATTTCCGGTGACAAAATAAAATTTGAATCAACGCCAAAATTTTAAAGGCGCATGCTGATTAAATACCTACCTACCAGCACTTTTGCGAAATTCTAAAACGGAGTTTCCTCATCATTTCTAGTTCAGCTCGTAAAATTATTACGGGACCAAGTTTAAATTTAGAAACGAAATATGCAACCTCTGAACAACGCAATAATCGTAACGTACGTGAATCGATTATTCATCGACATACGGCATGTATTCTCTCTCATATAATACTGTCTCACATTACAAGAGGCAAATTAGCTGGAACGTATGAGGTAGTGCCAAAAAGTTCCCGAAATGTAGCGACACACAAAATTGTAATACAGCTGGATCTTATTCAACGCCATTACTATTTTCGAAGTTGTCCTCTTGGTATTACAAACACTGATTCCAGTGGTTCTTCGATTCTATAAGTCTTGTTTTGTTAATGAGTTTGGGAATGTCTCCTTTATTGTGTCAAATCTGCCGGCTTCAAGTTGATTTTCATTTTTGGAAAGACGAAAAAGACGCAAGAAGAAAAATCGGGCGAGTAAGGTGGATGAAAAACAACGGTCATGTTGTTTTTGATTAAAAAATGTTGTATGAGGAAAACGGTATAAGGATTCGCCTTATGATGGTGGAGAACGCAGTCGTTGCTATATCACTTCTGTGAACATTTCCTTATCATATTTTCCGTCAGCCTCACGGTAGAAGTCTGACCTGACCCGTAGGTAGAAATTCTCGTATATATGCGAATAATCCTATCAATATTCTAGCGAGCACGAGCATGTTTGTGTGCGATCGGGCATACATGTGTGTGAGCGGCTTATCGATTCGCCCGCTAGCCGTGGGCGCCTTTCTTCATGTGCGCCGTATCTGTAAACGTGTGAGTCGTACCTGCGTTCCGGGAAAGCAAATAAACAGTTCCAAGAAAACGAAACTTTTCCGGACGGCTCGAGAAAGTTCCAGAAAGGACGCAAAAGAGTATATAAAGGAAGAGATCGCAGAGAGTAGAGTAGAAATAAATTGACCGTTGCAGAAGTGAATCTAGAAATAAATTGGTAGCGCAGTGAATAGTGATATAGTAACAGTACTGTAAATAAATGGAGTAATTTATCACCTAAGTTAGTAATAATTTAATAGTATTTGTATGTTCTTCAATAATTAGTGTAAATAAATAGTTTTGTCGTTATCAGTATTAAAAGTTAATTTTGTTAAACCCACGAACATTACAATATCGATGAAACAGATCAGTAAGAACTTGACGATGCTCTGAACTTCCTTTGGTCAAGATGAAGACCGCGTTTTCCATTGTGACGATTGATATTTAATTGCAGGATCATACCCTTAAGACCAATTTTTGTCACCTGTGACGACCTTAGAAAGAAAATGTGTATCAGTTTGCAACTATTCCTTCAAGTCTTTGCAGATATCCATGCGACATTGTTTCTGCTTCTCGCTTAAAAATCCTGGCGCGAGTTATCCTTTTTATGTTCAATTTTTCCGATAAAATCTGATGGTACATGTCATATGATAATCCCACTATGTTGCAGAAGCCGTGTATGGTCTGCCTACGACCTTTAACAGTTCCGAACAGCAAGGACGTACATGTTCTGGTGTAGTGGCGGTTGTCCGGAACGCTAATCGTCACCAAGAAATTTTTAAAACGATTAGAGCAGTCGTATGCTTATGTTTGACCTAAAACTTCGTTCTCGAATCTTTTCTATATCATTTCGTATATTTCTGTGGTAGTATTCGATTTAATCGGTCATTCGTAGGGTTTACATTTTTATATACTTTTAAGAATGATCGAATAGGTCGATGACATGCTGATAAGTACGAAATAAATAACGGGACATTAAACCGCTTTTGTTTTTTTTTTGTTGAAAACGTATCTTTTAACTTCAGATACTGTTCTTTTTGAGTATGTAGATTTAAACGCCTACTTATCTCTTAGAAGAGATGCTTTTGTATATAAATTGGAAATTGAAACAATTATTAAGGTTTCCGGTTAAATCGTTTCTTCCAAGTTCAATTGTTTCTAAAGTAAACTGTTCCGGTGCAGTTCGAATTTAAAACAAACGGCAGAATCGAACCGAAAAATTGCAAGAAACGTAATCGAACTTTTTTGTCATAACAAATATTTCAGCGGTTTTTATTTTTATTCGAAGTTGATGGCGAATGGCATCATCAAGAACTTTCTTCGGTTACTGAAATTAAACTAAAGTTGAATTCCTGGCTACGCTCAAATAATAAATAAGGATTTGAAGAAGTTAAGCCTGCTCAGCTTCAGTTTTGAAAAGACTTTGCAACATTATATATTAGGTTTCTAAAAATATAGTTCTTTACAATGCGGTTTTTGTTTTGGGCTGTAACAATAAAATACGACATACAGCAAGCAGTTTCTTTTCAACTAGTTATTTGTATTGTTAACAAATTATAAGATGTATAGTAACTGATAAATGATAAACTACAGGCTATCACATGGTGAATGTTCTACGTCAATAGGATCATTTGTTTTTTTATTTGAGAAATCTTAACAAACAAAATTTTGCTCTTTACGATTTTAGTGGGACTAGAATAACGAAATAACTGACTAAATACTATAGTGGTGAATAATTAGCGGATATTATTAGATCTCCTAAAATATGAGACACATGGAGTAAAATTTACAGTTGTTGCAAACTATATGACTTGACTGCGGTTTTATTAGTAGGTACTAATTTAAACAACAACATGTTACACATTATTATTGGCAACCAAATTTAGAAAGGAATGTGAATTTCTTAAATTAATTTAAGTCAGATAAATCAGGATGGATGGAGTAGTAGGAATATAAAGCAGACGATAGCGCACGGTCGAGTCGCCTTCAATAAAAAGAAGTAACTTCTATGCCCACGAACGGTTAATTTAGAAATTCGAAAACTACCGTTATAGGTGTATGTTTGGAGCGCGGCGCTGTACGGGTGCGAAACATGGACAGTGGGCTCGGCGGAAAAGAAAAGGTTAGAAGCGTTCGAAATGTGGTGTTATAGGCGAATGATGAGGATACCGTGGATAGAGAAGGTTAGAAATGAAGAGGTATTGGAAAGAATAGGAGAACAGAGGACTCTATGGAAGTCAATAAAAATAGGCGAAATAGGTTAATAGGACATGTTCTCAGGCATGAAGGGATAGTTAGACATATTAGTGTCAGAAACGGGAATTGAGAGGGGTAAAGATAGACCTAGTTTAGATTACGGTTCGCAAATAGTTAAGGATGTGGGTTGTTCTACTTTTAGGGAAGTGCGAAGATTAGCTCAGGATAGGAAGGAGTGAAGGTGCGTGTCGAACCAGTCTTAGGACTGACGACCTTATGATGATGATTATTTACGTAGGTAGGTACATTGAAAATTGCTTCTAACGATTAAACAAGAAACTAAAGTTACAAAGTTTTCGTAATGGTCTAAGTGATCAATTCTAAAACTGCAGTGTACGTATCTACTTTATTAGTAGATTATCTAGGTTAAGAGTCAGCAACATTTCTATTTTTACTATTGAATAAAAGTTTTCAACTTTAATAATAAAACGGAAATATACCAAAGTTTAGTAATTTTACTATGTCATTATACTTTGTCGTCTATGTGAACTTTTCATGGGTCACATTGGAAATAACGGTATGATTGATTGCCAATTTCCAATATTTTATTATATCGGTATTCTTGTTATAGATGTAGGTAGGTAGATAATAAAAATCAAGTATTAATCTAACCTACTAACGTTAAGTTGATCTTGAAGTTTCTCGTTGGCGAGTTACTAAAGTCGACCCGGCATCGGAAAGTGCCTTCGTCCTTTTCCTTTACGTTCCGTATCCTTAGTCGAGCTCTCGACGGTTCGCCGTCAGTTATGAAAGTTGAACGTGACCCCAGGTCATCCGTTGTAGATAAGTGAGACGATTTGTCCAGGGGACTCCCTCTAGCAAGTATACTGAAACAGAAACTCAAGTCATTCATTATTTCTTGTTACGAAGACTAACGAAATCTTAAGCTCGAGATTTATCAAGGATACCGCTGCGCCAGTTCCGATAAACGATTTCAGCTCTAAAATATTGCTATAACAAGGCGTATATGATATCGTTAAACCTCAACGATAAACGTGAAGCCAATACATCCGAAAAGAATAAGATTAGAACGATTTTAGGTGTAATTCCGGTAACTTATATGTATACCTACTTGCACATTAATTTCGTTATGAGAAATAGTTAATTAATCTAGACGAAGTTTGGTACAAATTATAGAGAAAGTTACTAAGATGTGGAAGAAATCATTGTTACGAATGATTGAAAATTTTCTGTAGGTTGACAGTAGACAGCACTTATTATTGTCTAATTTAAAAAGGAAGACGGGTATTTTTTAAACATGACATAAGAGTCTGTGATGTCATGTATCTATTGAGTTTGATTGGTATTAGTTATGCACATAGATTCTGTTGCAAGAAGCATTTACTCATTTGTTTTTTGACAGATGTGCTCAGGATTAATATGTAACGACAGAAAAAGGCAACACTAACGAAGTGCTAAGTCGAAAAACAAGGACGTGTCTTCTTCGAAAGCCATTAAAAATTCGTTATCAATGGCCTTTTTTAAAATGATTCGCAGTAAAAAACAAAAACATTTTTACATTATTTGTGACTACTATTGGGATCCGTCAAATGGGCATACACAATCTGGTGGCAAAATTTATAACTCGAATGAGGGAAAAATTTACATAGTAACTGTTCACGCAAATTGTAAAATTGTTTATTAAAATAATAAAACACGTTAAAAAAGTAAACATTTTTTTGATGATGGACTCGACGAAGTTTTCTTCTAAAGTTAAATCAAATAAAAAGTTAATATGTTCAGTGAAAAGCTGCAATAGCACTTCAGACATACATCTTCACTCTTCACCTACATTAACTACTTTCCAATAAAAACTAACCGTTTTATTTATGTAAGTATTTTGAGGTTAAGAACCTACCTGCTGCAATACAACAAAGTTGCAATAATGTGTTTGCAACGTTCTCTTAAATCGGCTTTGCACGTGCAAGTCATTGATATTATATTCCTTAAATCACCCAAAATCACCTCACCAATTATATAACGTGAATCACTTTTTAAATTCGAAGTTTGAAAAAGTAGGCAGTAAATTTGACGGAATTTGTTATTGCCGAATTTTATAATGTGATTGGCATTAAAAACACGCTCACCTTCAACGAAATTTCCTTTCCAAGGCTTTGTGTCAGCCCAATCACATATTATGTCAATACTTATCATTTTATCGTAATTTAAAAACTTGTAAATTGCACGGTACCTACACTATAGGAACTACGATAAATTTTCCCTAATCGGCGCCATGTTTTTAGTCTCCTCCCATTTGACGGATCCCAATAGCGATTCTGAAACTTCTAAATAGATTAAATAGCGGCAAACTTTCGCAGTTTAGCGTTTTCCGTTTGGGTTTACGGAGACAATGAGAACTGTTACGGTTCGTGATAAACAATAGAATATCGGATCTTGCCTTCTTTATGCTCTAATTATGCATCAGGTAAACGGAGGAGAATAACACAATTCCATCCTGGTTAGCCGCAAGCATTATCCGGTTAAACATATGTACGTATGCATATAGACAATTACCAGCAGCAGGAAGTTAAGACTCGCCGCGGTACTCTAACATGTATGTATGTGTGTGTGTACGGATGTATGTACGTGTAAGGGAACGGGGATGGTTGTAAATCATCAGAGTGGCCACGGCAGGCGCATAGAAGTGCTGAACGTAGCAGCGTCGGCATCGGAACCAGAAACACAGTGGGAAACTAAAGGTGCGGCTTACAACTGCCAAAATGTGCTGCCCTTGCATGGTAATACATCCCGAAATCGCCGAACCAAACTTCCTCCACACTATATCACGCGCTTCCTGCAGGAGATGTCCCCTTTTTGTTCAAATTTGCAGTCCTTCGTTCACACATCACAAGAATGTGAAAGTACCGAATATTTTAATGTCCCGGAAATACAATTTTCCGGCTTTAATACCGTCCTTACGTCCGATTGTCAAGCACCGTAAAAATGCAGAAGGAATATCTTTGAGGTAATGCATCCACCCCTATAGCACGCGATCAGCGGTGTGCGTTTGAGAGTTGGAAGAAAGCTTGAGGAAGAAATTGAAACTTCTTAAATTGGAATGAACAATCCATATGGGATTTTTAAATCAGCTACTGTCACAGCACAAAGTAAAGTTTTATCTACTTCTCATGAATACAGGGAAACAATGTTATTTGGCTGTTTTAAGCACTATCGTAACAAGAAGAAAAACAATATCTAAGGTAAACAGAGAAGAGGTAAGGATCGCTTGTTCCCATTAGAGAGGATATTTCAGGTAGTCTTTAAGGACTTTTGCCATTTTACTTCCTATTGACTATATTTTCCATAATGTCATATGGCGCGGAAATATTTTAGGTTTAAATACATTTCGTTACAGAAAAGTATCTTAAGATTATGAAAATTTATGCGTATACAGGGTTCTTCAAGTGAGTGCTACATTAAATGTTTTAGGGAAATTCAGCGTGTTAGAGATTCGAAAAGTTGGCAGTAGTTTCTAAACTTTGGATTGTTTTTGTGAACACCCAGTATAAATTATGAAGCTCAACTTCGGTTTAACATTAGCCATTTTTTGTGGAAGTTATGATTTTTTGTAATTTAGGTTGCGGTAGCAATTTTTTT